CCAGCTGTAGCCCACTGTTTGTATAGCAGTGAATTAAATACCTTCCCAGTATTGCTTCTATCTGCAAAAGGTTCCTAAATGCACAGCTATGCTCTGCAATGGAGCGTCACCCTGGGATTCCCAGCCAGGGCCAGCTGAGGAACTGGTTAGCAGGGCAGCTGTGTCAGCACAAGCTGTGCCTGGGCTAGCCCTCGAGGAGGTGGGCAGATGATTAGCTCAGACAGGCTGACACGGTTTTGGAGCCTAAAAGCACACATGGCAATACAGTGAGCTATGTGTATGCATCGTCCTCTCTGAGCTCCTTCCCATGTGCTGCAAAACCCGCTCCTAAAATGAGGGAAGGAGTGAGATGGGTCTCTCAGTAATGAATTGCTCCCTTCCAGCCTCTCTTCATCTCCTGCAAAGGGCTGGTAGCCCGACCACGGGGCTGTAACTCTCTGACTTAGGAGTGAGCAAAACAATCCTAATGGCCACTCAGCAGATCTGTGGAACACTGGCTAGGACTTACAAGAGGAACTCAGGCACAGAGAAATGAGATCTCCCCAAGAAAATGCACAGCAAAAGAGGAAGCTGAAAGCAGATCTCTAGATTCCCATGTTTAGCAGCCTAAAACACAGCTTATTCTTTCTCTGTAATCAGTAGTGATGTAACAGGGCAAGATTTCGCTATGTGCATATGTTTAAGCTTCACATCACAGCTACTGCCATTGTGAATACTGGTCAGCAAGTCAATGGGATCAGTAGAGCATCAGAGAGAGATACCCCTTGTTTACTAGTTAAGTGTAAGGACAGAAGCTTGAAGGGATTTTTGCTCTCTCAGAAGAGCTCCCAAAACAGACAAATTTATATTAATTTTATCTTAACGGGAAAAGAAGAACAGTTTAGATGTTGAGAATGTGCAGTAAACAAAACAGCTGTATTGTAAATCCTTTAAAAAAACCCATACTTTACAATGATAATTATGGCAGATTAAACAATGAGTGTCATCAGTGTGATGGTACAATGCACACAGTACTAACCGTTTCCTACTCAAATATTTACAAACGTCTCCAATTTTTTATTCTAATGAAATCTCATCTCACTTTTGAATTGGCATCAGAAACCATCCTGAGGCTCAAAAGAGCTTTCACTGTCAGAGGCTCTGTCAGATATCTAAACTGCAATTTGCCCTTAGTGGTTCCCAGAAGAGTTGAGCCAGAAGAGTGCTGTAAATGTGGCTTTGTAGGAGGTGATGAGCCTGAAAAATCATTGCCTACAGTGAGAACTCTAAACCTGGAGAGGGGCTGAGGACTTACCCTCCTGTACCATTACAACACAAATTGTAAGGATCCCCACACTCTGAAGTAAAGTTTTAGTACAGATTTTTTCTGCTTCACAAATACATGCACACACAGCTGTGCAGTCATGATTAAGTGATCCTCCTCAGATGGCCAAGCACCTGGAATCTTGTCATCATTCAACACACATGTGTGACAGGTATGGGCTGAAATCATGAAGCCAAATAAAATAAACCAATCTCTTTGAGAACTTTCCAAGAGCTTCCCAGCTATTGGATGGGAAATAGCGTAATGTACACTATCATACATTAATTAGTGTTGAATGACAGCATGTGAACCCACAGGGCTTCGATTAATACCAAGTGAGTCTATGATGTTCATGTTTTATAATGAATAAGTGGAAGGCTCATGGTAAAGCCTGCATGTGCTAGTGACACCAGTCAAGTAAATTTGTTTTGTACATTGCTGGGCATTATGCAAGAAATATTCAATGGGCTGAGTCCTAAGGTTGATTCTTCACTGTTGTTTAGTTTTAAGCAAAATGTCTATTGGCTTTAATAAGACCTTTGTTTAAATAAAGGAAATCACTTCAGGCATGACCCTTATGGATATGTCTCATTGTCATGTTCAATATAGTTGTCTAAGCTCCTGTATTTGTGACATCCTGCTTCCCCTGGGCTCTTATAGCGTCATTCTCCCTTAAGTACTTGCCAGGTTTTTGGATGTTTTCTCCAACTATTTGCTTCGGCTGAGTTTGCCCAAAGCCAAGAAAGATGCTGAAGACTTCTCAGTGTAGAAGGAGAAGCTGTGTTTTGCCACAGTCCCATTAATTGTTGAAAAGATTTGGAACCAGAAGGCGAGTTGGTATGGGCTGCATTTCCGAGTTGGCTGTGAAAGCCACAGATTCACACATGCCTTAAAGGCCAACCATTTTCCCAGCCCCAATGTAATGAGAAAACAACCTGGAGTGCCTCCCCTGCTGACTTTGCAGAAGTAACTAAGCCATGAGCTTTAACTCTCACCACTCTGGGAAAGTAAAACACGAAGGGCAGCAATGAAATCGTTAAAGGGATAGGAAACAAACTGGTGTTTGCCAAATGGAGAAGGGCCATATGACTAAGCCAATATTGTTTACTTAAACACTTCCCAAAGCCTGCTAAAGATAGTAAAGCATAAAAATAAACATGAGAGCTATCAAACTGAACTAAGAGTAGTCAACAAGCATCTTTAGGGTAGCAACATAAGGAAGGTGGTTTGGAGCTGTACATCTGATTAGGTTTTGTGCCAGCTTTTCTGGCCACTCAATATGAGGGATGTTTTACGGACAGGAGAGTAACCCTGGGAACTGTGGAAAGATCCCACTATCCTCCATTTGAAGTAGATTTTGTAAAGCACCTGTCCTAATAATACCATTACAGCTCTTACTAGACTGCCCATACAGCATCAGATCTGAGTCAAAACAAAATTAAGGAGCATGAAATAGAATTTGAAAGTGGGTAACAGAAAAATCCCTACAAACTCTGCAAAATATATGGAAACACATACAAATAGCAATTTCTGACTAGGTTTAACATTTCCATCTAACCTTATTCCTTTTGGAAACATTTTCCAGATTATTCAAGAGAGAAATCTAAAGTATTTCTGGGGAAAAAAAAATGCTTATGTAGTTTATAGTTCTTCATTTTCTTAGCTTTCTGAGCAAAAACTAAGAGTTATCAAAAGCTGCACCCTTATTCCTGAATTTCTTACTGTTTATCGCCCTTTGACAAGTGGCTGACTCAACAGACAACTGAGAAAAGACTGAATAAATCTTCTCTGGGCGGTATTTTAAGTTGGAGTATTTTAAGAACTGCTGTTACATTGCAGCTGAATATTCCAGCAGACTGTCTGACCCCTTTCTGAATCAGAGTGCCACCAGGCTAAATATTTGCACAAATTCCAAGTGTAGGCCTACAGATTCTGCATAGAGAAGAGCTGTTTTGCATCCAAGTGAACAACTGCTCTTTACTCTGGCATTTGATCTGTAAAAAGTGCAATCTGTAGAAATGACACCAGAATGGGTACTGTCATTGCAGATTCAGCATAATCCATGTTTTCTCAAGTGTTTCTTTTAATAGTCATATTTCTTAACCCACAAACCGGTATACAACTGTACAGAGAGACCTCTCTCTATGCAGCAGGATCAATACATCTGAAATCCTACAAATATTAAGGGCAAAGCAGAGGCATTTCAGAGCATTCAAAGGATTTGACCAAAAGTTGCTGAGCTGCTGTTAATGATACCAATTGTCTGGGTTGGAATTTTTTGAGAGGAAACGTTAGTACTTCAAAAATACAAATAAAGTCATTGAAAGACTTTACCAACTCAGCAAAATTTCTCACTCTTCCAGACATTCAAAAACCCAGACAAATTGATGTCTAGTCTGAGAGATTGCACTGAAAAGAAAGAGAGCTATTCAAAAAAGTTTACTGAATGCAACTGAGCTAGATCATAACAGGTACCTGCTGTGCTAAGGGCAGTAGCAGGTAATGAAATTTGGTTCTATAATCCTGCTTCTCTGAAGCATGCCCAGTCCCTAAAGAGCTCCTCTGTGACATGCAATCTAAAAGTGTGTTATCACAAGTCTCCTTATAAAGGTGAGTACCAAACCTCAGGACTATTGGAAAAAGAAACAACTTCTTTTTTCTCTAACTTGCAACAACAGTGAAATGTAGTTTTCTGTTTATTTTGAAATGTGTTCTTGTGATCAGAACACTGAGTTAATAGAACACATCAATGGGAACAAACTTGAAATCCATACCTTTCTGTTTGAGTACTTGTTCTGTTGCTGACACCACTTATTCACACCTAAAGTTTTCACAAAAGGAATTTTATTTGTATTGCACGTATAGAATGAAATACAGGAGTAAGGCTGATCGTCAGATTCACATGGAACTGCTGAGCAGCTGTTTGACCAGTGCCTGTTGCCCTCAACGTATCTGGTCTTTTGTCATCCTCTCTTTACAGAGAATGGCAATTAAACTGTCAAGCCTTCCTGGGATGGGAAAGGGCTGGAGGAAAAGGAAACAGAAGGAAAACAGACAACTGATGACAGGAGACAAATGTGCCATGGACATGGGCTGGCCATTTGTTCCATCTGTCACAATGCCAGTACAATGGGAATACCTGAACACCAGCAGTGTCAATGGCAAATGATTTGCCTTAGTCCTTAGACTCACGTGCTCAGAATAGAGGCAGTAGAGAAATTGTGAAGAACTTAATTATTTACTACTGAAGCACTGGCCACAATTCAGATAAACTCCTTAACTGTCTTCTCAGAACAGCTAAGGAAAGACATCCTTTAAATAACAATGATCAAGGGAACTTTCGAACTGTGAAGAGTTCTTTATTCAATTCTGTTTCTTACTTTTCTAAAAAGCATTTGTGATTTGATAGAGGTTAGGAATGGGGGGGGAGAGGGGAGGGGAGGCAAAGGAGATAATAAAAGGAATAAAGGAAGAGAGGACTGTTTTTTTCTTTCAGGTACCCTCCAGCTGGTGAATGGTGAGGGCATACTGTGACCTTAATTGAACATTAGGATACATTTTTTGAGCACAATTACTAATTGAACAGAATAATTATCTTCCCAGCTAGGCAAGTATTTCTTGTGCCTGCGGTGAGTCTCGTTTAAGGGAAAGGCGGTCCGCGTGGGGAGCGGTCCCTTCCCCACACACGAGATAAGAGATGCCGCTCCCCTATTCCACGCGGCTTTACTCAAGCGGGTCCATCACAGCTCCTCGCCTACATGGAGCTGGGAGAAAAAATACGAATTTAAAAACGCATCTCCAAGTCTCCGCTAGGACACGGGAGTCCTGGGAGCACCGCTCGTCTCTCTACCGGCGGAGTCAAGGGCTGACCGCCCGGACTACAGCTCCCAGCGTCCTTTGCAAAGACGCGTTGTCGAGACAACGACCAAAGGGCGTCCTCGGGGCGCGGGAGCGCCGGCCACCCTCCCGCCGCGTGAGCCGCGCTTCTCTCGCGAGAGCCACGCTTAAACTGCGGCAAACTCTCGCGAGAGGGGCGCGCGGGGCCGTCATGTCGGCGGCGTGCGGCGGCGATGGGCTGTTCGCGCTGGAGGTGCTGGTGGAGGCGGTGCGGGTAGCGGCCTCGGGCCCCGCGCTGCGTCCGGCCGTGGCGCTGCGCCTCCTCGGTTTCCCTACCCTTCTGCTGCGCCCCGCCGCCTCCGCCCCGCCGCTCCGGCCCGGCCGGGCCTTCCCCTTCGGCCGCGGCAAACGCTGCCTCTTCCGCTGGCGCCGCGACTCGCTTTGCGCCGCGCTCCGCCGCCAGCCGCTCCGCGCCCTGTTGCTGGCGCTGCCAGCCGGGCTCGCTCCGGAGTCCCCCCGCCTCCTAGGCAGCTGCAACGTCTCGCTGGCCCCCGCCGCCGCCGAGGTGCCGCAGCGGCCCGAGGAGCCTGTCCGCTGGGGCCGCCGCGGCCGCTTCCCGCTCAGGGACGCGGCGGGCCGCACGGTCGGGGAGCTGGTGCTGGGCTTCCGCCTCAGCAGCCTGGAGACCGGGGAACGGTCGGGCCCCACCACGCCGCCCCGCGCCTCTCCTGCGCCGGAGGACGAGGAGGAGGAGGAGGCGGATGAGGAGGAAGAAGAAAAAGAGCGAGGCGAGGAGGACGGCAACATCATCTGCCCTCCCGTGCTGTATTACAGCCGTGAGCCGGCTGAGCCTCATCTGCCACCAGCAGCAGCCATGGGGTGCTGGCAGCATGTGGTACAAAGCCCACAAGAGCAAAGTGAGGTCCAGAGCCCCCCACGCCCCAGTGGTGGGCCCTCCTTGCTACAGCCCAGCAGCCCCCAGCAACTCCACAGCACCCTGGCGCAGTTGCCGCTGCTCAGTGCCTTGCTGGCAGAGCTGTCTGTGCTCACCCGCTCTGCTACACCTGCTGCTGTCCATCCACATCTGGCCTGGCTCTATCAGGCCCCAGGGGACTGTGGCAAGGGTCCACGGCCATCCAGCCATTCCCCTGCCCTCAAGCCTGCAGAGGTGCCGGTGAGGCCAAGCAGGAGCAGTGAAGCTACCAGCTCTCAGTTCAAGCAAAGCCAGCAGCAGACTACCTTACCAGGGTCTTCTCAGGCTAGGAAAAGATCTAAGAAAGCTGCACCCCATGAAGAGACAAAATCTGAAAAAAACTTCAAAACTAAGGAAAACACACCTCCCAGAAGGAAACTGTTGTATGGGCTGACAAATACACTGAGGTTACGGCTGCAGCAAAACAATCCTGATAAGCTGATACAGCTTGAAAGGAGAGAACAGTACAGAAAAAAGCAAGTAGAGATGTTGAAGGTGAGAAGCCCATTATCCAAAAGAAAGCTGCTCAAAAATGCTGAAGAACAGTGTATGGTTTCTCACAGGCAGTGTTCCAAGGGAGACAGTTCAAAGCAGAATGGTCAGGTTGATGAAACTGTTGAGACTTCATTACAAAACAATGCTCTCAATGAGTACTTTTCTGGTACAGGTGTTTTTCCTGACCTACAGAAGCAGTCTGCTGAAAGTCCGATGAGGAACAATGGGTTTGCAAGCAAAGAACATCCATGCAAATCAACAGTAGCCTCCTTACAGGAGAAAACTATATTAAAGTTTACTCACAAAGAAAAGGACTTGAAAGTTCAGCTCCCAGAAGCTTTCGCATCAGATGCTAGTGTGAAGGGAAGCAATGATAATGAGGAAGCAATACACTTCATCCATCCTAAAATCATGGAGCACGATAATTCCTCTGTTGCAAGTGATCAGAAACGAAGCCCCAGCAGAACTGCTGAAAAAAGCTCTGAATTCATATACTCAGATGACTTTGTTGCTAGTCCTGACAACATAGTTTATTCAGAAGATTTCACCAGTGCTGAGTGTACAGACAGAGACTTGGAAGCTCTTGACAGCAGTCCTGAACCTCTCTGGCTTGAAAGCCCAAACCGACCTTGGTCAGATACAGAAGTGGAATCCAGCAGGTCCAGAGTTTCAAAAGCAAGTGAAAGAGCTGAAAGTACGTCAGATCTTCTGCCAATGCATTCATCTTCATCACCAGTCTCTTCTTTGAAGAGAAACCATGGCTTGAAAAACAGCAAAGGAACTGGTGGTGAATCTGTTGATTTACTTAATGACACCTCTCTCTGGGCAGGATTATTAGATGAAGAGCAGGAAGCCCATCAGGTTGATAAGGAAGAGAACAGAGTTGATGAGCATATTAAACAAGCATCTATACTGAGAAGTGAGCAAGTTAGCTCTGATACTGATCTGAATATAGGAAAAGGGCAGACCTCTGCAGAAAACAGTCAGTCAGTAACTGAAGTGTGCTCCTACTTAACCACGTAACTTGTCTGGTCTTGAACTTAGTGATGTGGAAAACAGTAGGTCTGGCAAAGATGATGATGTTTTGGGAGACCTACATACTCAATACAAAGATATCAGTGAACTTGTAATAAACAATCTTCCAGGATACACAGTGTAATTTTAAGTTGTCACTGTCTGGATTAAAATATGGTATATTTAAACTATTTTTATAAAGTTTGTTACTTTTAGTTATAATTAATACCAGTTAAGGCTATATCATGCATATTTATACATCGGTCAGTTTACACACGAGTTTTTCAGGTAAACTACTAGAATCTCTAAGTGGATCTTGATCATTATCTAGAGGATGACTTCAGTGTCAGTATAGAATCATTGAATCATAGAACCATAGAATCACAAGGTTGGAAAAGACCTACAAGAACATCTAGTCCAGCTGTCCTCCTATCATCATTACTACCCACTAAGCTACTAAACCAAATCTCGTAGCAGCTAAACCATATCTTGTAGCAGACATCCTAACACAAAAATAATCTGATCAGCACAGGAAGTATAATATACTGTCAAAAGCAGAAATGAAAACAGAAGCAGGAAATGCAGTACTCAGAACTCGCCCAAGGTAAAAATAATAACATGTTACAGAAACAGCCAAGTACAAAATGCATTCCTAACTGAACATTACATTTTTATCCCTCATGAAAATAGTTCTATGCTTCATTGCAAATAGTTACTTAAAACATACCGTCACAGCACATACTTTTATCAACTAATCTGTCTAACGAGGCATTTTTTCATTGTTCTGTCACTAAATATACAGACCAGAAGTAGATGAGCCCTTTCCCATTACTGTAGGTTGAAGTTTCTCATTTCAGTTAGATTTTCATGATTTATTATAAAATAGCTTAAGAATTATTGATGACTGTAAATCTATATAATCTGGGAAAGCTTTAAGGAGTTGGAGAAAGTTACTTGACCTTGAAGAGTAAGAATGTGCAAAGAGAAGGAATAAGTGCAGTAAATTTTCCATGCTTCACAACTCCCTGATTGCATTCTCTGCCAGTGGGGAAGGGGTAGGAGGGGCAGGACCCACAGTCAAGAAACCGAACAAATGAGCGTATTACGTCTTGATTTAAAGATTCAAGATAGTGAGAAATTTGCTATGTCTCCTTTTCTGTTCCGTTGGCTGAACTCCTATGTGCTACATCCCCTTTTCTGTTACAATGCTTGAACTATCATCTGATGTTACCTTTTTGGTTTCTTACTTCATTTCTATGACTTCCAGTTTGATCATTGGACTTGCATCTTGTCTTCTATTTTACTAATTGTTGCCTGGCTTTGTTTTTTGTTTGTTTGTTGTTGTTGTTTGAGTCTATTCATACATCTGTTAGAAATTTCAGAGACAGTCTTTGACTTGAATCTGAAGAGAGCTCAGAATTGCTGCCTTAGCTTGTAAGTCTTTTTTGACCTCCCTTTCTACTCTCAGACTAGACCATTTCTTTTGCCAACCTTACATTCCAAACTCACTCATCGTTTACATCATTTATCCTTAAGACTGTTAAATGACAGACTTGCCAACTTCTATTTCCCCTGTAATTTGCAACAACTTTTTCCATTTCTGTGCCTTGATAATATGACAATGAGTGCTCCATGTACTTCTTACAAGAATCTGTGTTTACACTTGAATATCTTGGAAGATTTTTTATTTCTATCCTATGTGTTTATCTTATAGGAATGACAGTGTCTCCTTTACTTAAATTACAAACATCTGTGAGGATTATTCAAGTATTTAGTGTTGACCTCTGAGGAGAATACGACTACTATTTTTAATCTAAAGGTAAACAGCTGAAAATGCCCATGCTTCAAAGGAATCTGGGCAGAACAGTTCTGAAATGTTATTTAGGATTTCTCTGCTTCATCAGCTCCAAATCCAGACAAAATTATTTCTTTATTGCCATGGATCTGATACAAGTGAAATCAGACTGTCACCTACACATGGCAGTAATTCTGATTTCATTGATGGAATAAGTTCTGTGCAGCTCCCATGTCACTGAAATACAATGATGCCCAAACATTTTTACTGCCTGGCTATATATAAATGATCTGCTAACACTACGAATCCAAAATTTGAAAGTCATTACTTAAGAAAAGTTTATTTAAAAAAGATTTCTCAGCCCCAAATTGATTGAAATTCAGGGGTAAATTCCCACTCCTCTATCTATTCCCTACCACATCTTCATTTTTCAATTTCCAGTAGTAAATATGGCAAGGATAATATTTCATTGGTTTAAGTTACAAAACTCCAGTCTCCTTTTAGCTAATTTTATTTGGGATAACTTTAAGAGAGTTTATAATAGAATTTATAATTCAATCAGGACAATGATGAAAACAACAGAAAATGTGCACTAAGAACACAACAGGAGACATGACACAGTAACAGGAGGTCAGCATAATGCTTGTTTTGGTTGCTTTGTGTCTTTTCAGATACAGACTCACGTTAGTTACTGTTGCACAGAGAGGTTCCTATCCTCAGAGATAATAATCTTTTCAGATGTTATCTATGTTGTCATGAAAGTAAACAATATTTTATTTAATATTCAAATAACATCCCCTCAGCCAACAAAAATGGGAAGGAACTTCACGTCACTGATCACTGAAAATTCAACTCACAAACCAAGAAGTACCTGCTAATGCCAAGAAGATTCTGTACTTCAACCCAGCAGGATAAAACAGAGATATTAACTATTAGTATGAAACATGAAGAAAAAAAAAGCCAGCAACATGTACAAATCTTACAGTCATCTACACTCAGACACATTATGTTATCCAGACAATTTTGTCATTCTGACTTGCATTCTATATTCCTATGACCAAGTTGTTAACATCAGAAGTTTAACAAGATTTCTCTACCTAAATGGAGGTACTCATCCAATTTTTCATAAAGACATCATTTCTAAACCGTAGGGGCCAAATTGCACGGATTATGATTGTGCACAGGACACAGCAATACACTGGGCAAGGAAAATAATAGTAGCATATCCTCCGCAGAACCATAGCAATACAGCCGTGGTGTCGGAGTGAAATAGCAGGAGAAAAGAGAAGTGCTGCTACTCTGGTAGTTCTGCGCTACATCTCTGCACTAACAGGCCTCATCTAGTCCTAAAAAGTCAGTGCATTGGAAAGCTGCTTTCCTAGAAACATCTCAACTAAAATTGCTCATTAGGAAAGGAGAAGAAAGCTGAAGAACCCCACCCCTTCTGCATGCCGAGACTTTGAAAACTCAGCTTTTTGAGCAAGAACAGCCAATTCTTCCATACACATTCAATCCCTGGTTGTTTTTCAGAGTTCCTGGAAAAATTATTAATTTGTACTCATTACAGGATGTGCCCTTGTCCACTGGGAGACGTGCATAAAGACACACTGGTTTCTTAAGTGCCCCCATCTGTCTGCTTATAAGAGTTTTCAATAGTTACTGAACGCTGAGCAATCCACGTAAACAAACGGTCTGTTACATGTACTGTGCAGACACAGAGGCAATGGCTTGTCACAGTGTAAAGTGTGACAAAACCAAAATATTTACCTATTTCCTACTTTCCAGTAGCCCTCAGATTTTACATACAACTGTAATTTGAATTTGCTGTAGTTTTCATTTTGGCCTCACAGTCTGTATTGCTCCATAGTATTAAGTAACAAACTATAGTTACTTCAAATTATATAGTTTTCAGTTACACTTGGCTACAGCAAAATTAAAATGTTAAAATTATTTACCTAAGTTTATTCTAGCTTATGACTAAGGAAAGCCATCTAGTATCTTACTATTGACTTGCTACTATAGCAACTGATCTTTCTCTAAGTCTGTACCATATTCCAAGAATATATTCTGTAATACTCAGTATGTTAACATAGATGGGTGTTCAAAACTTGCTTATGGTAAGGGTAGTTAAATCAGCTAAAATAAAATTGAACTTAATGTTTCACTACACAAGTCCCAAAGTGAGAAATAAACTCATAGACATACACATTAATTTCTCTCAAAATTTATGATCCTATAGCAATAGTTTGCTGTGTCTGTCTTTTAAAAATACATTTCAGCATACTACTTACTCAAACTTAGATAGGTAGCACGATATAACTGATGGTGAGATGGGAATAGCAGGATGCCAAGTAGTGACAGTTTAGGTTCTTTTGTTGTGTTTTATTTTTCTTTCTTTAAACCTCTTCTACTGTAAAGTTTTGCAGCTGTAGAGCAGTTCTGGTCAGTCCTATTACTCAGTCTTCTGTCCTTGTTGCCTAGGAATGTTTTTTAAGAAGTCTCAGCCAAGGATGAGTTTCATCCACTTCATTTTTTATTCCTCAGCTCTCAGAACCCTGATTAGATGATACAGTTTCTTCTCTGTTTTGATATTGCTGGTTATAATTTGTAATTCCTTCATTTCGGAACTCCTTTTCCTCAGTTTTCTGAGATTGTACTCAGCTTTGTAATTGCGTAATTTTAATTAATTTATTTTTTTACAGAGTTTCTCATTCTTACTGCCTTAATGTTCTGTGTCCCAGTACTTTATGATACCTGCCATTGCAATCATTTTGTTCCTTTTTGTGAAAGTGCTGCTCAAAGTTAAACGCTCTTCCCATCTGGACATCTTTGGGACTTCTGCTTTCATTTTCTCAAGATTTGTCACCAGCAGATACTTTACTGTTTACTAAGCTTTGATTGCCTAGAAATAAGTGAAATCATTGAATCTTACATTCATATCCTTAAAAGGTTTTGTTGACTTTAACTGCAGCTCCTGTGAAATATAACGCTGCTCACTCAGAGCTGCAGGATGGCTGCCCAGAATACTGTGGTTGAACATTCACCCACTGTTATCAGACATCAGGTTTCTTTACCTCTCCCAAACAATCCTATCTTTAATCCTTTTCTGAAGTTTCCATTTGCAGAATAACCTTATTTCAGAGATCCAAGGCCATCCTTGTGAGAACATATGCTGACTGTAATTTAACACTGATTTTGAGCTAATGGCAATCACATCTGCCGTAGCTGATGTTCGTTACCAGCTAGCTGCTTGCACTTTCCATCCTCCCTTTTAATCAGTATACTGCTGGATTTTAATTTCTAGTTTGTTCACATTCAGATTCTTCCTGCATTTAAACTCTTATTATGTATGCAGTTCTGGTATGCTGAAGTCACCC